TCACTAACGACAGAGTTTTATGGTTGAAATTTGTCGTTGTGGCTAGCAACTTCGAAACAACATGATTCAGCTATATATTATTATGAAACGAATAGATAATGTATGTGTGTTTTGATGGGATGCATGTAATGTAATTTCACTATACACTTTCATCAGATTCTTAAAATCAAACGGTCAAAATTCGCTCCTTAATCAACGGCCCAACAATAGCATTTGTTCATACACACCAAACCCAAATAATTTCACGTGGGGTTGTTTCACATAAGAGACGAGAACCAATCAATAAAAGCCACGTAATCACCCATAATTATCCTCTAATGCATGCCCCTAATCCCTCCTCTGGAGTCATTAACGAGGAAACACAATCATAGCGAATTTGCTATCCTCTTCAAGAGCTCTTTGCTTCTTCTGGCCAGTGACTATGATTATTCTGACTGTGTTGTGTTTCTCTTCAATTTTGTTTCCTTTCGAATTCGACAAACCAAATCGATTCTCGAGGCGGAGATGGCGGCGGAGGCGATTCCGGGTACACCCAGAATCCGGGATGTGAGAATCCAACCCGGATCCGAGAGTTTCAACCCGGAATGTACAAGGGGAGGAAGAGGAGGCTTGAGAGCTGAATTCGACATTTCTCCACCGTTCGAATCGGATCAGAAGGCGGTAACCGGATTTGACGGTCGTGGGGCTTGGGTTCCTTTCATGATCGGAGACAATCACGTGAGTTCTGTTTCTTCTAATCTCTGATTTGCAATGTCATTGAAATTTCGATATGTATCTAGTGTATGTGTATGCTAATAATTGATAGCTAATTCGATTTGTGAGGATTCCTTCCATGTTCTAGTGGGTTGATTCTGTAAATTAAGTAGAAATTTCAAAACTGTGTAGTGATCTATCGTAATGAATGACAGTTTCAAGGTCGTCTTGAATTGTTTGCTCTGCCTATGAGATTAGGTTTATGATTTTTGTGAGGCCATTAAGTGTTAATCGGTGTATTATATAATATATACGCGGCGATATCTTCTGAATCTAGCAAGTAATCGAGGGCTAGAGACGAAGGTTTGATCATTAGATGATCGAAGCATGAGGATTATGGAAGATGTCATGTTGCAATTTTTGTTGTTGTCAGGACTAGAAAGCATGGGACAAGATATTGATGTTTGTTGGTTTCGTTATTATTCAGGACGGTGTGGGAGAATTTGACATAAAGAGAATGGAAGAGAATGCGGTGGAGCTTGAGAAGGAACTGATTATGAAAGAGTTAGAAACTCTGGATTTTCTAGAAGCACTTGGATCAACGAAAAAGATTCTCGAAGACTTGAAGCTGGAGCTGCAGCAGCAAGCCTTGAGGCGCATGGAGACCCCTGAACATTCGCATTCACAAACCAAAGAGATGATCGCTGAACGATGTCATCTTAATCCCCTGGAATTGAATCAAGCGAGAATGAAACTTGGTAAAACCATGGATGATCTTGCAATGATCCAATCCTATGTTGAGTCTCTGAATATGAATACCGAGGAAGAGAAAGATTTCCTTGGAGAAGTATCTTTAGCTGAGGAGCTTAACAGTTTGAGGTTAAAACCAGCAGGTCCAGATCAAGGAGAGAGATTCAATACCGAGAATTTACCTGTGAAACCGCAATGTGAACAGGTTAAGATGGTAGTTGAGGAAACCAATGATACAGCTTTCCAAATACAGAGCGAGGCCTGTCTGAAAGCTGCAGAAATGAGATTGGTTGCTGCAAGAAAAATGGAAGAAGCTGCAAGAGCAGCGGAAGCACTTGCGATTGCTGAAATGAGCGTATTATCTAGCGGTATAAACCAAGACGGTGTCTGCTTCCCAGAGCCACCGAGATCACCTTCAACACTTCAAGCACTGATGAACGAAGACTTATCAACCGATATCTCAAGAACAGAGATCCTGAGGAAGCTGGAAGAAGCTAATGAAGAAGTTAAACAAAGTAAACAAGCGTTGGAAATGGCATCAAAACGGGTAGAAATCGCTAGTGTGAAGCAACTTGAAGCAGAAGATGCGTTTCGCCAGTGGAACATAGAGTCATGGAAAGATCAGAAAGCGATCAGAGCAAAACGCTCGATGAAAGGAGATAACTTTCATCGACGCTCCTTCTTGAGCCATGTGAACCAGCAGCACGAGCCGCTGATCAATCTCCCTAAGCAAATGCTGAAACGCAACGCCTCAATGCGCAATGTTCTAAACAGGAAACAAGTCCATACCATCGATGAGAAAGAGTTTGTTACGCCGAGGAGAAAGTTTAGGTTCATCCACATCAAGCTTCCAGAATCAGAGTAAGTGAAAACATGTTATTCCAAATTTCGATTTGTGTCTTTTTCTTGGTTTGGTCGTTGATTGGTGTTGTTTCTTCTATCTTAAGCAAACCAAAATGATTAGAGTGAAACGTATCGTTTTTTACTCAAATGTGAGTGACCAAAAGAAAAACATATTAAAGGTTTTTGTAATCATAATTAATTATGGGAGTTAGTAAAGGGCATTGCTCATATGATTTAGGTGGCAAGCAATTTCATTACTTTTTGAGTTTTAAATTAATGTATTTAAAAGAGTTAGATTAGCTGATTAGGTGATCCATAATGGTAATTCAACTACATATGTTGAATTTTAATGTTTTTAAAAAATTTATTTTGGTAAAAGTATTTCACTATTTTGTATATCTTTTAGAGTAGAAAGACTGAAACATTCAGGAGAAAACAAACATTCCGAAGTACAATCTGAATGATGACGTGGTCAAGACTTTGAAGGCAATCTAAACATCTCCAATAACTAGACGCCACGTGTATAATCCTTTTGTCGTGTAATCCTCGTAGTGGATTATGAATTTATAACAGTGGGACCGAGAAGTCATGAAGCAACAAAAACTGTATAAAATAAATAATAAAACAAATAAAGTGGAAAATCAAAGATAGGCGTGGGTTAGCAAAATCATTGTCTAATGCTAAAATGTGCCACTCCAAACACGTGGGCTTACTTTTGCGCCGTGTCAACAATCCGACGGTACGTTCGTACTTTAAAAAAATTAGGTTGCAATTTGCTCATTTCGTGTCAATAATCAAAAAGACAAGGTCTCTATCTTATTTATTAATTTTAATTTTCCAAAACTTTAAAAGTTGTAGCTTCGTTATCATTCTTTATGTTAAAAATGTTAGTACCTTCTGCTTTGCTTATAAAAAAGAAAGGAAGTATAGTTCATAGAGACGCAAGCTCATGGGAAAGGAAAAAAACGAAGATATCTCTTTATACAATATTCAATAATTTGGCCGATCGATCTCTAGAAAGATCTGTCGGTAGTCCATCGTATGGCGGCTGGACCGCCTCGTTGGGCTCGATGGTTCAAGTCTCTCGAAGCCTGGTACCGTATGCAATCATTTCTTTAATCTCTTCTAGGCAGGGTACTCTTAGTATATGATATATTCTGATAAAGTTAGATATCTAGAAACCACAAATGTAAGTGAATGTATTAATAATATGCACACATATGTACACGTGCAGATTAATTTCAGGCTCAACCATATGGAGAAGATGAAGATCACGAGATCCATATGCATGGGATTTTCGGTTTAAAGATGGAGTGAATCGTATAAGTCCATGTTCGGATTTTACTATGATAATTAAATCGGATTAAAGTTTTGATAAGTGGAGTGTTCTTACCTAAGTGGGCTTGGTATTCCGATCTTATAAGTTATATCCAGATCGATATGTTTATGGGTTAGTACTTAGTATCAGATCGATATAAGCATCAAATGTGTGAGAATATTCTCCGCCTAGGTTTCGTTCATTCCACATTACCTTTCTGAAGGTGTCTCACAAGGCAAGTCATTTTTCTGGCTATAAAATGCAGCTTCGATTATTACTTTTCCAATAAAGTTTTTCTCTATTTTATTAAGTGTTTGTAGGGAAAGGTTTGATAGAATTCTTTGTTTCTACATGTATCAAAAAATTTATATTCGTGTTGTAAAGTTGGTCAGCAACTTCGCTATTAATATAATGTTTTGCAAAGGCTTTGGTCACAAAATGTCTCAAGAGAAGCTCTTAGATTAAAATAAAGGCAATGGACCACAAAATGTCTCAAGAGAAGCTCTTAGATTAAAAATAAACGCAATGGACCACAAAATAGCAACATTGATTTATAAACTAATAAGTAATCATAATCTTAAGTGTATCTAACTCAGAAAAAGAGTGAGTACAGTGTATAAGTACTAGAGTTTTGAAAATACCATTGATGACACTGACACTTATAGGATGATTGCATAAATATGAACTTTCTAAGAACAATAAGCAATATAGAAGAACATATATATAGAGGTTTCTGACCAAAAAAAGAGAGAAGAAGAACATAGTTGTTAAGAAAAAAAAAGACACAAATAACCAAAGTAAAAAAGATTACTAAAAACTTACAGAAAGACAAAAAAAATTATCTGTGTCACCAACCTTGTAGATTGATGAGTGGCTTAATTATAGTATTCGATTACTGATAAAGACTTAAATTTTAGTTTCTGTAATTCGTTCATTATACATATACCATCACACATTACATTTTGAATAACAAATTATATTTGTAAAACGAGTTAAATCACTTAGTAAACTATACAAATTGTGTAACTTCACATCTAACTTATTATATATCATTACAAATTACATATTTAAATAATGAGTCGAATTTTCAAAATGTGTTAAAATATTTTATTCTTTGTAATTCAAAAACCAATCTCTCATTCTATATGCTTTTATTTTGAAACCGGAACGATTGTCCAACTTAATATCGCCGTCTCATATATGATATATCTATGTGACCCTACGAGGTCAATGTCGAACCCAACTTCTCCGTC